TACTGGTCAGAGTGTTTTGTCACAGCAATGAAGAACAAACTAAGACACCCCACTAGAGCTCTTATACTCTGATACCCCTGCTATGTCTGCTGTGTTGTCGGTACCCCAGCCATTCCCCACTACTTGCCCTTCTGGTGAATCTAGTCAGCCTATCTAGAGGTCTTTGTTTTAGGAGGGTCAGCTGTTCCTCATCTAGTGGTAATCAGTTGTCTATATTCCTTTGGATAAGATTGGGGTCTGAGGTTCATTTTCCCAGTTCTATGCTGGGTTACTTATCTGGGAATCCCTTTGGCCACCCTGGCCAACAATTCAAAAGAAGGTATCGCCTGTCTGGCATTATTGCTTGTTATGTAGCCTTTAGGTATGCATATGGACTCTTATGAAGTTATGTTGGCCCCTTTAATCTTTGGTTATACCTTCCTTTTGGGTGTTTAAGGCCATACAGTTGGTCCAGATAAACCAATTTATTTTTACTCTTAAGGTTGTTTGAGGATCTGTTCCTCAGGGGTCACATGGGCTTGGGAGGAGCCCCTGGCTCCTTTTACCAGTTCCGCCTATGTGAAGATAAGTCAAAGGTCCTGCTCAACCATGGCTGGCTTTGCTTGAAAGCATGAAGGAAATGATTCCTCTGTGTTGACCCTCCTCTTTATAGACTGGACACTGGTTCAAGTCCATCTGGTGGGGTCTCCTTGGCCTCATTGACAAGAGGACAGGTGACCCACCACCATTATAGAACATTTTGAGAGATGCTCATAGTCCTCTGGAACTAGTCGACCTAGGAGGGCAAGGAGCAAAAAGTGTCCTTTATGTCCCTCTGACCAAATTATTATAGACCTCAAAGTATGTCTGTTAAATACCCAAGAGGGTTAGTTCCACTGGTCTGATATTTTTAATTACTATATGTCATGTAGATAAATCTTGGGCAAAGACTAGTTGTTCTCAGATAAACCTTACCTAGACATATATTTCTTGATCTGCTATGTATAATTTGTCAGTAGGTTGTAGGAGTAATATGGTTCC